CGAAACAGCTCGCGCGCCTATTGGTTGCTCTTGCGGCAAATGCAGCAGCCTATCGAGAGAGACTCTGCGTGACGTAATGACCAATGGGGGCAATTCGCGCCCATATCGTCACGTCCCGCCAGAAAGGGCGTGGTCTCACCCTATAAATATGCTCGTTAGGCTGGTACAAGCTGGTTTTCATCGCTGAAGCGAACCAGAGCGTATTCCAAGCACGGCAAGATACGCAGTACTCGTTCCCTCTCTAGAGAGAACCGAGGTTACGTTAGTAACCGAGTACGTTCTCTTACGAGAGTATCTCTCGTACTGCGTAATAGCTTACGCTAGGGGAACACAATGCAACACGCCGTGCGTACAGGGATCCAACACCAAAGTCCCAAGGGCCGAAGCCCAGGGCTCATGTAGTGCATAATCACCATAAACTCACATAGAGTGGAGGAAGAGAGGCTGGAAGCGTCATTCCCTATAAAAAAAGCACCCAGCGGGGCTATCATATGACAATAAAACGCGCAGCCAGGGTGAAAGCTTTCAGCCTGATCTGGGTGGCCATACGTGTGTCAACACTCATGGGGCTGCAGTAAACTCAGCATCTGGGCCGCACAGCGGGGCAGATAGCACTGAATTTTAGACCGCCAAAAGCTTAGCTTGTAAGGCGGGTACCTCCAGGTTATAGTATTTTATAAATGTAGACGGCGAGGCCCAGCCCGCGGCCGTACAGATATCTTGCAGGGAAACCCCTCTCGACCATGCCCACTAAGAGGCCACGCCTCTCGTGGAGTGCGCTCTGACACCCAAGGGGCACTGCAGGCCCTCTGCAGTGTAAGCGAGCGCAATGGCATCCACTATCCATCTGGATAGGCTCTGTTTTGAGGCGGCAAGTCCCTTGGAACGCCCGCCAAACAAAACGAAAAGCTGCTCCGTCTGTCTGAAAACAGACGAGCGCGACACATAAGCTCTCAATGCCCTGACGGGGCAAAGGAGACTTGCGTCGTCCTCCTCACTGAGAACCGGAAGGGCGGACAGGGAAATTACCTGGGCCCTAAACGGTGTATTGAGGGATTTCGGCACATACCCGTGCTTAGGTTTGAGAATGACCTTCGAGTCATTAGGCCCAAACTCCATACACGACGCGCTTACTGAAAGCGCCTGCAAGTCCCCTATGCGCTTCACTGAAGCGAGAGCCATGAGAAACACTGTTTTGAACGACAGGTGTTTCATGTCCACCAGCTTGATTGGCTCGAACGGGGTCGCCTTTCATGGCCTCCAGGACCGTGGAAAGGTCCCACGTCGGGACTGAAGGGGGCCTGGGAGGGTTCAGCCTCCGAGCTCCCCTAAGGAAACGCACGACTTAGTTTTTCCCCAGCGACTGGCCAGACACCGGTTTTGCAAACGTTGCTATGGCCGCCACATATACTTTGAGCGTGGATGGGGTCCTGCCCTTATCCAGTAGCTCTTGAAGGAAGGAAAGCACTTCCGAAACCCCGCATTCCACAGGTGAAAAGCTCTGGGCTTGACACCATGCAGAGAAAACAGACCATTTCGAGGAGTAGAGCCGCCTGGTAGACGGAGCTCTAGCCTGCGCGATCGTGTTTAACACTCCTTCTGGGAGGCTAGCGGGTACCCGTTGATGGCCCATGCGTGCAGGGACCACAACTCCGGGCGAGGGTGCCAAATCGAACCCTCCGCCTGAGAGAGGAGGTCTCTCCTCAATGGTACAGGCCATGGGGCAGTGCTGGTCAGCTGCATCAGGGCAGGGAACCACGTCTGGTTTGTCCAGAGCGGAGCTACGAGCAGCACTGGGCATCCGTTCTCCCTGATTCGTTCCAACACCTGAGGCAGGAGCGAGACAGGAGGAAAAGCATATAGGGGGCAGCGGGGCCAAACATGAGCCAGCGCATCCTTGCTTTTCGAGAAAAACTCCGGGCAATGAGCGTTTTCGTGGGACGCGAATAGGTCCACCTGTGCTCTGCTGAACGTTTTCCACAGCAGCTGGACCGTCTGCGGGTGCAGCGACCATTCCCCTGCTGGAACATTGTTCCTGGACAGTCTGTCTGGTCCCACATTCAGGTGACCAGGCACGTGCGCTGCTTTCAGTGAGAGCAGGTTGTGCTGAGCCCAGACCAGGAGGCGTTCCGTCAGCCTGTGAAGGTTTCGTGACCTGACGCCGCCCTGGCGATTTATGTATGCCACCACTGACATGTTCTCCGACCGGACCAAGACGTGGTGGCCTGTTACCTGGGGACAAAAACGCCGTAGCGCTTTGTCGACTGCTATCATCTCCAAGCAGTTTATGTGAAGGAGCTTTTCCCGTTCTGACCACAGGCCAGCTAGCGGTCTGCCCTCGAGCAGTGCTCCCCACCCCGAGGTGGAGGCGTCCGTAGACACCACCTTCACACTCGAAGCGGTCCCCAGACTCACACCTGACTGGTACCAGTCGGTTATTTTCCAAGGTTCCAGAGCTGAAACACACTGAAGGTCGACCCTGAGGCGAAACAGACCCGCTGTCCATGCCCTGGGTGGAACCTGCGCTTTCAGCCACATCTGCAGTGGGCGCATGCGGAGCAAGCCCAACTGGAGTACAGAGGCTGCTGAGGCCATCAGCCCCAGCATTTTCTGAAACCTTTTGAGCGGAACTATCGCGCCGTGGCGGAAGGATTTCGCGGCGCGCTGAATATTTAGCCCGCGCTCTGGTGACAGGCGTGCTGTCATGGATAGCGAGTCCAACACTGTTCCCAGAAAGGAAATTTTCTGACTGGGAGACAGTGAGCTCTTCGCCCAATTGACTGTGAGGCCCAGCTCCTCGAGGTGCTCGAGTAATGCGGCCCTGTGTTCTATGAGCTCCGATCGTGATCGAGCTAGAATCAGCCAATCGTCCAAGTAGTTCAGGACTTGCATGCCCTGAAGTCTCAGGGGTGCGAGCGCCGCGTCCATGCACTTCGTAAATGTACGAGGTGCTAGGGACAGGCCGAACGGCAGGACTGTGTATTGATATGCCTGGCCCTCGAAGGCGAATCTCAAGAATCGCCTGTGATGGGACGCTATTTGTATTTGGAAATAGGCGTCTTTCAGATCTATTGACATAAACCAGTCCCCATGGCGCACTTGCGCGAGGATTTTCCTGGTCGTAAGCATTCTGTATAACGTATAACGGCGCGGGCGTCGAGCGAATTGTAGCGAATAGCCTCTCTTTATAGTGTTCAGCACCCATTCTGATACCCCGGGAAGCTTTGACCACGCATCTGCGTGAATAGCTAGAGGCAGAATGAAATCCGGCAAAACGGCAGCTCGAGAGCCCTGGTATACTGGGAACACAACACCGTGTTTACAGCGTTCGAGGCGGGGGGCGCGCTGATCACAGCGGGCGGCCTGGCCGCGCTCTGCTTTTTTATGGCAGATTGTGCAGAAAAAGTGAGCGGGGCAGATCCCGTAGGATTCGGCGTGTCTGTGAGAAAATGTGGGCGCGGGACTGCGGGCACATTTACTACACTGAAAACAGCCATAGGCAAAAGCTCGCAATGAGGGCATCCGCCGTCAGCGAGCGCGAGGGCCGCGTGATCCTCACCCAGGCAGGAAACACAGATGACGTGACGGTCTCCGTCGCTGAGCGGGGCGCGGCACGAGCCACAGGATGGCATCTTTAAAAAGACGCAGCTCTTTTGTGAAGAGAAGTGTGAGTCGCGTCAAGTAAGCGAGCAAACACTCTCAGCAGAGTAAAGATACACAGAGTATAAAAGGATATAGAACGCCGGAAAGCGCAGCAGGTACGGCAGTTGAAGGCGGCGAGGCCAGCGACTCCAGAGCTCGTCCCGCTGAAAGGCTTGCTTCGACGGCGCGGCTTCTCACTCCGGATCCAGCGATGCGTGTGCGTCGCTGAAGAGATGAAAATCAGCTTGTACCAGCCTAACGAGCATATTTATAGGGTGAGACCACGCCCTTTCTGGCGGGACGTGACGATATGGGCGCGAATTGCCCCCATTGGTCATTACGTCACGCAGAGTCTCTCTCGATAGGCTGCTGCATTTGCCGCAAGGGCAACCAATAGGCGCGCGAGCTGTTTCGCCTATGTCTGCTTGCTGCTGCAAAGCGTTTTACATTAATAAAAAATTAAGGATAATTTTTGGCTTCAATATCTCGTGGAAAAGAGTTTTTCCCCTAGCGTAAGCTATTACGCAGTACGAGAGATACTCTCGTAAGAGAACTATTGTTAACAAAGCATAAAAAAACTTTCTCCAACTCTTCACATATGAGCTAATTAAACAAAAATTTACAGTGACAATGAATGAAGAACTCACTATTTGTATATAGCCTATTAATATATTAACAATGTAGAGTCTACAATATATTAACTATGAATGAACTATAAACTAAAACTTTGCAAATCATTTGTAAGTACTTTATTACTGTATACTTATAGTAAAGTGTTACCAAAATGTTTTGCGGTTTCCACAAAAATATTAAGCAGCACAACTGTTTTCAACATTAATAAAAATAAGAAATGGTTCTTAATTCAAATCAGTATATTATAATTATTTCTAAAGGATCATGTGACACTAGAGACTAGAGTAATGACTGCTGAAAATTCAGCTTAGTAATCATATAAATACATTACAATTTAAAATATGTTAAAAAGTTATTTTGAATTGTAATAATATTTCACAATATTACGTTTTTTACTGATTTTTTATCAAATAAATGAAGCCTTGGTGAGCAAGGCTTCTTTCAGATTTTTTTGTTTTTGTTTTAAATCCTACCTGCCCCAAATTTTTAAATGGTAGTGTATAAATTCTGTTCCTAAATCAATGGTATAAATAAGCTGTTCTGTTTTTCTGATAATTGACTATTCAACTTAAACCAATTCCTTATAAAGTTACCATCCACTGCTGGGTTTTAAATGACTCTAAAACCAACTTTGACATCCATTGGCACCTAGCGAGTAGTAATTTTGGACCCAGTGTGATGGTGAAAGTGCGTTTTATAAGTGGTGTGTGGGTTTGATGTCTTACTCTGTGTTGCTCGTACTCTGGTTCTCTCCGTCGGGCCTCCAGTTCCTCATAGGATGGAGCTGCTCCCTCTATACGAGCCTGAAGATACTCCCTCCTCAGCTGCTGGATACGGTCCATACTGCTGGAAAAAAAAAAAAACACAATCCACTTAGCATAATAAAGAAATGTGATGGTATGGCATAGTGGCTAAAGATCTGGGCTGGTAACCAAAAGGTTATAGGTTCAAAACAGACTTTCCCTAGTCGCTGTAGATAAAAGATTCTAAATGCCTACTAAATTAAATTAAATTTAAAGTGATTTATCCTCATTCAGTCAATTAGTAGTACTACACGGGTGGCGGTTGGTCTACTTAATCGGTGAGTTTAGTTTTTTGTTTGTTAAGATGGTGTATTAACATAGCTCAACTTTTAAAAACATGTCTTAAGATCCTTGCGTTCAGTTCCACTTAGTGAAGCTCCAACTATCCCTTGTGACATTTGAACCTGTAATCTTTTGCTTACCATGCCAGATCTTCAAAGACTAGGCCCCACCACCCCCTTACATCTGCACACAGTCTCCTACACATGAATACTATTTCCCAACGTACACATTTATAGACCTACAGTTATACGCACAAGATAACACACAACCACTCAACCCTGGCCCACTCACACCCATCCAGAACAAAGAGCCACTATTGATTTGACCTATACATCATGTGATGGATAAAAATCAAGAAGCCCAGTTTATCAGACTGCTGATATGTCCGGATTGTAGCCACTTAAGAACAGTGCGGTAGCCCAGGCTACGGCTCTATCATCGGCACTTATCAGAAACGACACGGCGATGGAGCTAAAGCAGACAGAAATAATCAATTCTGTCAAAGATAATCAACAGCCCTTTGTTACAGTCCACTTCATATCTAGCAAGAATCACCTAATCACACACACGCAGAGGAGATTCAGCATGACGTCGTCATTTCGAAAAAAGAGCTCCTGGTGCAGTATAAAAAACAACACACACAAAAAACAACCACCAGATATTATATAATTTAAACCTAAAATTTGGACTTTTTACTCATCCTTGTGTCCTTTCAAGCCTGTATGACTTATTTTACTCTGTGGAACATAAAAGGAGGTATAGCATAATGTTCAAGCGGCTCTTTCCATACAAACAAACTGAGAGAACGAAGACCAAACTGAATATTAATGGTAAAAAAAAAAAAAAAAACATTATAAAAGAGGCTTGCTACAGTTTTCTGAAGCCAAATGATAGCTTTGTGTGAAGAACGCTGAAATTTCAGGATTTCTGAACTAACCCTTTAACATTTTGAATTCACTGAAACAAAAAATTTTAGTTAATACAAAGAAAGAGATTGGTTTAATCAACAGAAAGTTTTATCTGACCAACATTACTGAATCTTAGTTTCCTTTTGTGTTCTACAGAAGAACGTCATATGTGATTTAAAAGACATTAGGTGGGAAAATGATGGCAGAATGTTGATTTTTGGATGAACTATGCCTTTAATCCCGTCCTACTTGTCCAAAGCTCAATAAACATCTCTGCCTTTCCAGACACAGCAAAATGATGCCCTTATCAAACGTTCAAGAGGGGAATGTGTGATATTTCTCTTGCTCAAATATTGTGTTGTGGCACAGAACTGTGGAAGTGTGACTTGGGAGATAAAGTCCTGTCAGTCATCTCACAGCTTCTAACACACAAACACCAAAATCAATCTCTCAACGCTCGGCTAACACAAACACAACCTTTCCAAAACTGTTGCTTCCCATTGTCAACACACCTAGCAGAACAGCCATGTCCGCCATCTCAGTGAGGGGTAAATGCAGAGATCGGACGCTGTGGGTGAGGATCCTATCATAAACATCACGCATCAGACCGTCATTTTTTAAGACATCAACCCCTGGGGCTCAATGCCAGCTGCTATTGTACTATGAACGTGCAGCTGAAAATGAACGGCAGCAGAACATAATGAGAGGGAAACGCACAATAAGTTAAAAGACTGTATGCACAATAGAGACATTGTTTTGATAACCTAGATACAATATTAAGCCACCTCACACATGACTTATTTAAAACATGTAAGTAGTAGCCAAACGTTAGCCACTTTACATGGCCGCTCAATCTATTGTTAATGTAACAAATTATTAAAAAATTTGTACATAATGTATATTTATTTTGTTTGTGTACCTCTAAGTTTTCTTTTGATGTTAAGGCTACTTGTCTATTGGCCTCATTATGTTTACACTACTATTGTTTTAGTTTGCAGTATATTTATTTATTCACTTGTTTATAATTTATATTGATGTCCTACATTTGAAAAATATTTGTGTTTTCCCACGACTAATCGACTAATGGCTTAAATTAACGACTAAAACTTGACTAGGAAAATCTTTAGTTAATGAAAAACCTTCAACCAAAAATAAAAATGTCCAAAAAAAAAAAATCAAAGTGCATTAACTTATTTTAAAGGATACTGTGGTTTCACTTTATTTTGATGGTCCCTTTAAAACATTTTGTTGACTTTAATAAGAGTTAGTATGTAGGTGCAACGCTACTTAGAGTATTAATAGAGTATTAGTAGACTGGTAGGGTTAAGGTTAGAATAAGTTGACGTACTTGTAAAGTTACATATTGTCAGTAGAATGTCTGTTGGGGAGCATAACAATAAACAGATATTATGCAGACAGTCTACTAATACTCTAATGAGAGTTAATTGACGTGTAGTTGCAAAGTTACTTATAGTCGAAAGAATGTTCAAAAGGGACCATCAAAATAAAGTGTTACCGATAATGCTTTTGATCTTACAAATGTGAATATTGAGAAATGTTCTTCAAGTATTGTTCATTGTTAGTTCATGTTAACTAATGTAGTTAACTAATGCTAACAAATGAAACCTTATTGTAAAGTGTTACCCTGAAATAAAGAAGTTGAAGTACTAAAATTACAAGAAAACTACTGAAATTAAAATGAAAATAATAATAATAAATACATTCAAAGACAACTAGTTCACAATATTAATAAATGCTATAATAGTATATAACACATATTAAAGTAACATTGATTGGTCCAAAATCCCACACAACACAGATGCTTTTTTAAAACATCAAATGTGTTTTTACTTTCAGAGAGGAAAAAAAAGAAGACACAAATCATAAATATGAGTGCTCAACATGTAGTGAAATCTCCCTGAAGAGAACAGACTTGTTTTCACAATAAAACTAAATTCATACAACTACAGACCAAGTAGTACTTTCATCAAAAACAAGTGTGGGCTGACCACTCTACAAAATTCCCTCATTCTCCCTTTAGACGCAGATCACCAAAATTCAATTTACGTTTTTTTAAAGCCCCGACCAATCAGATTATCTGAGAGAGAGAGAGAGCGACAGTGTGTGTGAGAGAGAAAAACTTGGAGAACAGAGGATGAATGAGACAGTGGAGGGATTAGATTAAGACAAAACAAATTAACATGTCTTTTTTTAAAAAGCTGGTTAGGCGGACAGCGCGAGTGCCAGGCATTCCAGAGGGATGATGCTGTGGGAACGGGCCAGAGAGCTGCGACCCGGCGGCCACACGCACGCTCAAGCTCCTGAACACGGGACGCTGCTGAACCCGTACAGTGAATTCTCAAAACAAACCAACCGTCTATGCAGAAACACACACACAACAAGAAATGTCCCACTATGGATTAATAACACACTCAAACAAAAAACTAGCCGACCTCTCTCCATCAAACACTGTCATAAACAGCCTTTTTCATCGGTTTTTCTTTCAGGAACAATAAAGATCCCTGTGACTCAAGCAGGCCTAATGTTGCTGCTGCAGTCCCGGAGGTGTTACTGTTAAGCACACATTCAGACGCTCACAAACACACTGCTCTTTTCCCCCCTGTTTTTCTTAGCCACGCAGCATGCATGACATCAAAGCCAACTCATGTTGTTTTGGGTCCCTGTCCAACTAATTTAAACCACATATACATGGTAACACTTTACAATAATAATTTCATCAGTTAACATGAACTAATAATGAACTGTACTTCTACAGCCTTTATTAATCTTTGTTAATGTTAATTTCAACATTTACTAATACATGATTAAAATCAAAAGTTGTATTTGTTAACATTAGTTAATGCACAGTGGAGTAACATGAACTAGCAATGAACAGCTGGATTTGTATTAACTAATGTTAAGAAAGATGAACAAATACAGTAACACATGTATTGCTTATGGTTAGTTCATGTTAGTTAATACATTACCTAATGAAACCTTATTGTAAAGTGTTACCATATGGCATATACATATATATAGTATACGTATACATATCAAAAAAAAAAAAAAACATTACCTAACAATTTGCATTTTCAGCTACAGAAAAACACAATTAACAATTTGGTAACATATTGTTGTCAATCTATATTAACAGTTAACAGACGATTCAGCTCCTTTTTAAGAAAAGAAATATGCGTAATTATGGGACGTGTCAATTTGCGTGAATTTGAGTGAATGTTTGTCAATTTAGAACAGTGTATGTTCATATCTATAATACTACAGGATAGCGAACTATGATATTTAATTACTGCACCGAAATGCACACAAAATGCCTATTTGGAATAATTCAATTGTAATAAAAACATCCCCCACACTTTATAGACTTGATCTTAAACGTGAAAAGATATTTCACTCTACATTTTTTGATCTTTGACATAATCAATTATTTCAATAATTTAAAAAAATGTACAGTAAAATTGAAACCAATGAAGAATCAGCATTTTGTCAGTAATATCCAAAGTAACGTAGACATTTTAAGTGTTTTTCCAGGGAATCAAACCCATGACCTTGGGCTTGCTGTCGCCACGCTCTACCAGTTACACACCCCAACATGAACGCGATTATTGATCGTATTGTGCCATGAACGAATTGTGGCATTTCCTTTATTATTTTTTGTTCTTGTTGTAACCAAGGCCATGTAGTAGGGGGGAAAAAACACATTATTGGGAAAAAACACACATTATAGAACCTCAATGAGTTACGAACGGCATTTCATTTTCACTTCAGTATCAACCATAAAAAAAGCCACACACACACCAGCAAACCACAGAAATGGCCCTCTACATGGGAGAAA